TTTTTTATGAAGTTTCAAGTAATAATGGTTAAACTATACGAACCTAATGGAGTACGAGCAGTTTTATCGAAAAAAAAAAAAAATACGGGGGGCCCCTAAATATATATATATTTTTTTTTCTCTGATTTGGATAAAATTCAGAATATAGGTAAAAGGGGTCCAGAAAAGTTAATATTCCAAGTTTTAGCCCTGTCCGACCTACCGGAGGGGTTTTAGCCTCTATCCCCCCAATTTTGGAAAAGGGCGTGTAATGGTGCATACACGGCCTACATTTACTTTTCCGAATTTTGAGAAATAGAAAATACCACCGGATAGAGGAGCCAAAAATACGTCGAAAATATTTTTTGGTGTTTTTCGCTCCGACGCTTCGTAAGCCCGGAAAAAAATAACAAAGATCTAGGTCTATAAACCTAGCAGTCCCAAGGTGGAAAAAAACTTCGGGATCTATATAATAATAGTACCTGAGAAAATCAAAAAAAACTAAGGGATTGCTAGGTTTATGAAAGCTAGTAGTCCTCTATAGTGAAAAATATTTTTTTCAAATTTCTTCTTTGTATCAGAATTAGGTGCTTTTTGGTGCTCCTAAATAGTCCAAGAAAAAATAGAATTGATTAATTATTAACTGAGTTAGAGATTTTTTTTTAATTATTAGGGGACTGCTGTCTTTACGTCTACCTGTTGGTGTGTTAGAATGGCAAAAAAACTTCGGGATCTATATAATAATTAGGTGCTTTTTAGGTGCTAATTGGGGCTTCTAATTAAAAATTAGGTGCTCCTCTAGTTTTTGAGAAAATCAGAAAAAAACTAAGGGATTGCTAGGTTTATGAAAGCTAGTAGTCCTCTATAGTGAAAAATATTTTTTTCAAATTTCTTCTTTGTATCCGAATTAGGTGCTTTTTAGGTGCTCCTAAATAGTCCAAGAAAAAATAGAATTGATTAATTATTAACTGAGTTACAGATTTTTTTTTTAATTATTAGGGGACTGCTGTCTTTACGTCTACCTGTTGGTGTGTTAGAATGACAAAAAAACTTCGGGATCTATATAATAATTAGGTGCTTTTTAGGTGCTAATTGGGGCTTCTAATTAAAAATTAGGTGCTCCTCTAGTTTTTGAGAAAATCAAAAAAAAACTAAGGGATTGCTAGGTTTATGAAAGCTAGTAGTCCTCTATAGTGAAAAATATATTTTTTTTTAATTATTAGGGGACTGCTGTCTTTACGTCTACCTATTGGTGTGTTAGAATGGCAAAAAAACTTCGGGATCTATATAATAATTAGGTGCTTTTTATGTGCTAATTAGGGCCTCTAATTAAAAATTAGGTGCTCCTCTACTTTTTGAGAAAATCAAAAAAAACTAAGGGATTGCTAGGTTTATGAAAGCTAGTAGTCCTCTATAGTGAAAAATATTTTTTTCAAATTTCTTCTTTGTATCAGAATTAGGTGCTTTTTAGGTGCTCCTAAATAGTCCAAGAAAAAATAGAATTGATTAATTATTAACTGAGTTAGAGATTTTTTTTAATTATTAGGGGACTGCTGTCTTTACGTCTACCTGTTGGTGTGTTAGAATGGCAAAAAAACTTCGGGATCTATATAATAATTAGGTGCTTTTTAGGTGCTAATTGGGGCTTCTAATTAAAAATTAGGTGCTCCTCTAGTTTTTGAGAAAATCAGAAAAAAACTAAGGGATTGCTAGGTTTATGAAAGCTAGTAGTCCTCTATAGTGAAAAATATTTTTTTCAAATTTCTTCTTTGTATCCGAATTAGGTGCTTTTTAGGTGCTCCTAAATAGTCCAAGAAAAAATAGAATTGATTAATTATTAACTGAGTTACAGATTTTTTTTTTAATTATTAGGGGACTGCTGTCTTTACGTCTACCTGTTGGTGTGTTAGAATGACAAAAAAACTTCGGGATCTATATAATAATTAGGTGCTTTTTAGGTGCTAATTGGGGCTTCTAATTAAAAATTAGGTGCTCCTCTAGTTTTTGAGAAAATCAAAAAAAAACTAAGGGATTGCTAGGTTTATGAAAGCTAGTAGTCCTCTATAGTGAAAAATATATTTTTTTTTAATTATTAGGGGACTGCTGTCTTTACGTCTACCTATTGGTGTGTTAGAATGGCAAAAAAACTTCGGGATCTATATAATAATTAGGTGCTTTTTATGTGCTAATTAGGGCCTCTAATTAAAAATTAGGTGCTCCTCTACTTTTTGAGAAAATCAAAATAAAACTAAGGGATTGCTAGGTTTATGAAAGCTAGTAGTCCTCTATAGTGAAAAATATTTTTTTCAAATTTCTTCTTTGTATCAGAATTAGGTGCTTTTTGGTGCTCCTAAATAGTCCAAGAAAAAATAGAATTGACTAATTATTAACTGAGTTACAGATTTTTTTTTAATTATTAGGGGACTGCTGTCTTTACGTCTACCTGTTGGTGTGTTAGAATGGCAAAAAAACTTCGGGATCTATATAATAATTAGGTGCTTTTTAGGTGCTAATTTTAGTGACAAATATTTTTCCAAAAATTTCTTTTGTATCAGAATTAGGTGCTATTTAAGTGCTCCTAAATAGTCGAAGAAAAACTTGAATCAGTTAATTATTAACAGAATTATAGATTTTCGGTCTATATAATAATAATAATTATAGGGGCTTTTTAGGTGCTAATTAGGGCTACTAATTAAAAATTAGGTGCTCCTTTAGTTTTTGAGATAATCAAAAAAAAAAACAAAGGAACTGCTAGGTTAATGGAAACTAGCACTCCCTACTAATTAAAAAAAAATCTGTAACTCAGGTAATATTTAATCAATTCTATTTTTTCTTCGACTATTTAGGAGCACCTAAAAAGCACCTAATTCTGATACAAAAGAAAAATTTGAAAAAGCACCTAATTATTATATAGATCCCGAAGTTTTTTTGCCATTCTGACACACCAACAAGTAGACGTAAAGCCAGCAGTCCCCTAATAATTAAAAAAAAAATCTGTAACTCAGTTAATAATTAATCAATTCTTTTTTTTCTTGGACTATTTAGGAGCACTTAAAAAGCACCTAATTCTGATACAAAGAAGTAATTTGAAAAAAATATTTTTTACTATAGGGGACTGCTAGCTTTTATAAACCTAGCAGTCTCTTAGTTTTTTTTGATTTTCTCAAAAACTAAAGGAGCACCTAATTTTTAATTAGAGGCCCTAATTAGCACCTAAAAAGCACCTAATTATTATATAGTTCCCGAAGTTTTGGGACTGCTAGGTTTATAGACCTAAAAGATCTTGACCCTGGAACATTTTGGGGACCCGACACGGCGCCACTTTTTCGCCTATAACTTCGGTAATTTCGAACCGATTGTCTCGAATCAGGTTTCCTTTGGATTTTCGGAAGAGACATAAATTACCTACAAATTTTTTTTTTATTGATATTCCAGGCTATTTCTGTCTCCGAGATATAAGCCGTCAAAGTTGAAATTTCTCTGAAAATGTATTGAAAGTTATGAAGTCGATTTTCTCAAAAACGGTGCCCCGTGGAAGGGTAACTCTAATAAGCTTTTTTGTAGTTCTCAATGAGATCTACAGGTTTTGTATCTAAGGTTTTTCTCCCAGGCTCTCTGTTTTTCAGCTAGGATGCTTTGAAATTTAAAAAAATAAAAATAAAGGCTGTTTTGTATTTTTTTTTTTTTTGTCATGACGGTCTAAAGGGGATCCCAAATATCTCCTAAATGGGTTCAGTTTATTTTTTTCTCTCGTTTTTTCGATTTTTTTTTTTTTCAAAATATATGTTTCTGCCTTGATATAATATGATTTTATAATAAAAGTGATGTTCTACTATAAATTCCTATCAAAATTTGTGCAAATGGCCGCATCCCCGCTTGCCCTCACCATCAGGAGTCCTAAAAATACGGTAAAGAGACCAAAATTTCTCTCCTGCGGCGAAGCTTCAAGGATTTCTCTATAGGAATTTACCCCTCTCCTCAAGACAAAATCCTGGCTACTCCAATGGTGCTGCCGAAGTCGAATATTCGAATATAGCCGAGCTGCCGGAAATCCACGAATTTTAATAATATGCAGGGACGATCAATGATCTAGAGTGGCGATCCTGCAGTGAAATTGTTATCTGTCAACTCAACTGATTCCATTTAAGCCTAAGTGTGTGTATAGTAGTCTAGTCATGTCTGTATAATTAATTCTACTTTTAGTACTTCTGGTAATTTTTGGAGCCCGAGCCCCCATGGTAATTTTGAAATTCCGGCGCCTATGAGTATCAGACATTGCAATTGGTTCATTCTTATCGGTTCTTGATATGTTAGAAAATTTAATAGTCGAAATTTTGAGTAGCATTTGGAACTTGGATCGATAGGAAGTTTCTATAAAGGCACTCAAGAGCCGATAATAGTTCAAATATTGTATTGAGAGACGACAATAGTTCAAATTTTGATTAATTAGTCTTCCCTTTAGTTAAATAACTTTGGTACAAAGTATCGAGACAATATAATTTTATACCAATAGTGGAAATCAAGTTTTGCAGAAATAGTAGAAATCTCGGCACAACGTTACCAAAGTGTTTAAAGTCAAATTCCACATATATTTGTCCTAACTTGACATATACCTTTGTAAACTGTACTAGGTTTGATTAAATCTGCTCAGCGATTTAAAAATGAAGCGATTCTGGACATATTCTGACCCAGTAAATCTATCGTCTCAAAAGTACTTACATCTTGTAAGTATATTGTAAATATGGTATATTTCCAATAAATATCATGAGATCCCTGATGACTAAAATTGAAGGTAAAATCCTAAAGCAAACACCTGTTTCAATTCAAAATTCTAAAATTGCTCAAGAATCCCGACAAAACTATTTCGCACTCCAATTCAAGTCGGTGCAATTAACCAACAAAATCTGAGGTCACAGTAAAGTTGTAGGAAGGAACCATCGAGTGACCTGCCCGTACATGCGTGAAAGTACCCGAAGAGCAGCATCTGCAAAGAAGCGCACTATCGCCCTCCCCCGAGATTCGGTTTTTCTGGTATAGTATAAAAACCGGGCCAGTGCCAAATATCCTTACAGTCACCTTAAGACCCGACATCACTCAAGCATCATGAACTCATTTGGCGTGGTAAGTCTTCACTTACTTACCGATAATTTACCAATTAATTTTACCAGTGCGAATTTTATTTGTGATTGTGTGTTTTTTTTCTGCAATTTTTTGTTGTGATTTATTTGTGTTTGTTGTTTTTTTTTTTAGATTTTAGATTTGAAATTAATCCATCAAAAGTGTAAAGTTCCAAATATTAGTGCATTTTCATTTATCATTGTTCTTCCAAAATTAACTTGCTTCAACTGTATTTGGGCACAAATTATTATTCTCTAAAATAATATTTTCTAAAGGAGAAAAACTCGATTTTTAAGAATTAATCCCATATAAAACTGTTTAATTTATCCCCAAAATTCAATTTGATTTGAGAAAACATTATTTCTAGATATTTGTGTGTATGTGTGTTTTCACTAACTAATTATTTTTCTTTCATAATTTTACACTTGCAATATAGTAATTCCCCGTTATTAGCTTGGGCAAGAATTACAAGTACAATGAATTTTAATCATAGGCTATAAAATGCATTATATCCACATTTTTAGAGTTTTTAATTTTTAATTATTATCATTATTTTTCTTATTAGAGATGTGGAACGTTTGATTGTTGCAGCTTGATGTGCGTGTGTACTTTTGCGGAGAAATTAGATTAATTGTTTGTTTTGTTGATTCTTTAATATTTTTGGTTGATTGTAAAATCTTAATGGAAGATGCTTTTCTGCAGTTTTTTCTTGGTTGATCGATACTTTTTTAGATTTCTTGAAACTTCCTCAGACTTGTTCAATACTGTCTCAGATTTTCTTCACAAACTTTCCAAGTTTTCATTTCTTTTTTTTCTGTATAATTTCTGTTTTCTTTTTTCCTATTTTTTGTCTTCTTTTTACAGCATAATTACTCATTTTTGTCAATTTCATCGGCCCAAACCACAATTTACTTGATGAATTTACTGATTCGAGAATGATTTTTCTTTTTTATTATTTTGATATTTTGTTTGTTGATTTTGTGTAAATCCTTCCTGTGTTTTCGACAGCTTTGTCTGCTTATCAGAACTTTTTCATCATTTTTTTTCCAATTCCCTACATTTGTGCACCTGTTTATTATGCACAAAGTAATCCAGAAAATTTCAAGCTCCAGGAATAATAATTTTTTGAGTTTCGAGCGCAGAGAAAAATCAGTTTACTGCACTGATTCGTATAGCGGAAAGTAGTACTTTTCTACACTCGTTTGAGGGCGCTGAACCTATTGCTTTACAATTTGAATTATAAACCATACTTTTTCTCTCTATTTTACCCTCTGTTTAAGACTTGCAAAATTCAAATGACGTAGGGAAATTGAATTAAAATACACACAGCGCCATCTGCGTATAATAAATCGCTCTCATCTGATAAGGGCTTCTGAGTTCTGATTCATCTACTTCCGTGCGATTTACTTCACCATTACGCACGCCTTCATAAATGGGGACACAGTAGGCCTTTTCGGAAACACTGATCTGATTAACCCGATCACCAGCTGATGTTTTTTTTCTTTTTTCAATTCTGTTCATTAAAAAAAAAAAGAAAAAACAAACAGCTAGTGTTATAGTTAATCGGATCAGCGTTTCCAAAAAAGCCTAATGTGATTTTTATTATATTATTCACAGCAGTGATTGTAGGTAAAGTACTTCATACAGTAGTTCATAACACTGCAAAATTTTGATCTTGATCGTCTCTATTTAGAGAATGAAATTTGCATGTTTTTGTAGTGTTGAGAACAAATTTTTCCTGTTGCTTTTGAGTCTTGCCTTGTCGGCTTGGAAAAGTATTACTTTCCACACATCCAAAACTGTATTGTCAGTTAATTGACGATATGTTCGCATAGATTATTACCTTTATCGGTCAAAATCTTCTTCTCGATCATAATCATCATTTTACGATTTCAATTTAGTAATATAAGTGAGATATTACACAATTCAATTACAACGAAATGTTCTCAGTCTAGCGCCATTATCCTCGTTAAAATCCCATTACCAAATCTTACAATCATCATCATTGTTTTTATTATTTTTCAATTTACCCAACAATTACGCAATCGAACGCATTCAATCACGTAAAATGCCTTTACACATACACACATGGTATTAGTATTAGCTTCCTAGTTGATGTCATACCATACCGACATGGGAAAGTTTTGCAATTATTTTAGAAAGTACACAAGAGATGATGAACAACAATCGCTCCCATAATTATCTTTACACATCTTTGACTCCGTAAAGAACTGTTTTAATTTAACTTTTATTTTTTTTTTGCTTACAGGTATTCGCCTTCGCCTTGGTCACCCTGGCCATAGCTGAGGCACCTTCCGGCTACAGCTACAGCAGGCCAAGCGGTGGCGGCGGCGGCGGCGGCTATTCAGGCGGCGGCGGCGGCTACTCAGGCGGCGGCGGTGGTTACTCAGGCGGCGGTGGTTTATCAGGAGGCGGCGGCGGTTACACAGCCGTATCGTCCGGTTACCAAACCTCAGAAGGCGCTTCCGTCGACCCAGCCCTGCTCGAACAAGTCCGTCAAATTCTTCTTAAAGAAGAACAAAATTCTGCATCCAGCTCTGGAGGCGGTGGAGGCGGTTTGAGCTCCTCGTACGGAGCCCCGTCTTCGCAATACGGAGTACCATCTCCGCAATACGGAGTACCCAGTTACCAGCAACGCGTTGTAGGTATCGATCTGGAAGGAATCAAACAGGCCATCCAGGTGGCTCAGTACAATCAAATATCGCAAGGCGCAGGTTTCGGTGGTTATCCAAGCGGACCTAGCAGCAGCTACGGAGCACCCTCGAGACCTTCCGGTTCTTATGGGTCGCCCTACTAAAATCTTAAAAAAAAAAGAACTGATTAAGTGTACCTTTTAACATCTCAATACCATCTCAACACGGGTCATGATGCATCTCGAACAACGACTGTCAGCCACAACAACATCCATCCGAGTGATCATAACATCATCAAATTTTTTTTTATTGTTTTTGTATAAAGTTTATGTTTTTTAAAAAAAAAAATACATTTGTCACCGTAATTTTTGTTGTTTTATTTTCACATTCTTCAATCCAATAATCCAGTTGAAAATTTTCTGTTTGCAAGTGCAACAAGACATTGCAAGATGACTATTTCAATTTCTTGTGATACCAGTCTTTCAATATTTTCTCGATTTCTTACGTTTTTTGCTCGCCTTTTTAATTTTAAAAGAATAAGCATAATTAGTCTAGCAAGTCTCATTGAAAAATGGTCAGCCTAGAAGACAATGCATTCAATTAAATAAAGATAGAAGAGCAAAAACTTTAAGAAAATGTAAAAATAGAATTTGTAAAAAAAAAACACGTCACACTAGTGATCAAAAAGAATTTTCGAAACTTGAAGCTTGTAAGTTGTTGAACAAAAAGGACAAGGAAAAAAAAGAAACAAAATAAAAACATAATAGGATAGCTTTCGATTTTTCCAGGTTCCTTTTCTGCTCTTTTGTTGCTGTTTTCCTCAGTTCTTGTTCAGTTTTCTCCCAAAAATTTCCAAAAGAATTCTCAAGAGAACTTTTTTTATCTCATGTTATTCTTATCAGATTTTTACAGCGTTACCTTTCTTGTTTGGGCCAATCATCTAATTTTTTTCATTCCTTCCAAATAGTTTTGGAAAATCCAAATTTCATTCATGTTCTTCAGACCTAAAAGAACGACAGATTATATCATTGTAAATCTTGCATTTGCAAATTTAAAAAGCAGCTCAGATTATAAAGATAGAGTCAATGTTTATCAGAGATTCTCAGAATTTTTCTCAGATGCATGGGTAAAGATTCTTCCTTGTGGATCTCAAATTTGGAGCTTTTCAAGCTCATCTCAAATAATAAAAATTCTCGTTTCGCATATCCAGAACGACGTCAGATTCCAACAATGTAGATGATTTTAAAGTATCTACAGTTCAGAGATGCAGTGTTGAAGCTTCAGAATCTATGATTCAATCATAATTCTTGGAAGCAAAATTTTCTTGTCTTCATCAGGTTCAGAACGTGAATATTTTTTATTGTGGATTTTTAATTTGGAATTTTTGAAAAAGGTAATCAAGAAGCACTTATACCTAGTTATAGGCGTCTTTACCTTCAATTGAGGGATCGAGGCGTTCACCGTAGTTTTAAGAGTGTGTGCCATGCAGTCTACATTGATATTCAGATGTAGCAAAAGGAAGAAAACCCAACCTCTACTACACATCAACTAAGACCACACATCCTTCAACAGAATTTCACTTTCCATAAACAGACTTTAGTGTCTAAAGGCAATTCTGAATGAATCATGTTTTTCCTGAATAGATTCCATCATCCATTTTATATTGTTATCTCTTTCATTTATTTCAGTAAATTCTTGTGTAAAATATTCATGAAACTATCCCCAGAAGTGTTATGGCTAGATATGATTCAAGATATTTCGATTGTACGTTCTCCAGATTCTCTCCAAATTTTGATTATTAATTAAAGTTCGTTTTTTTTAAAAGATAATTCCCTAAGTCAAAATTTTAGTAACTATGTTGGCAACACAAGCCCTTTCTACATAAAAAAATTGAAAGCATTGACACTTTTACATTATATTGCCAACATAATGTCATTTTGACTTTTATCTTAAAAAAAAAAAAACAGATTTTAACTACTTCTTATACTAAATCTTGAATCTTTTTCTAAAGGCAGTCACGAAGGGGGGTTCCGATTGCAAAACTGTGTAAACCAAACTTCCTTACTACTTCAAGTTATCCTTAGTTATCTCTGATTATTCCCGGTTATTCATGGCATCCCTGGTTATCCCCCCTGTCCAACGTTGCCAAATGTAATTATCTGAGTTTAGTATGTTTGCATTTCTCCAGTTATCCTTTGGTTATCCTTGGTTTTCCTTGATTATCCCGCCTTATCGCCAGAATTCCAAGTTTTTCCCGGTTATCCCTGGCCATATACACCAAATATCCCCAGTGAAACCCCCCTCGATTGCAAAATTGTCTACACCAAATTTTCTTTCTACTTCAAGTTATCTTTGGTTATCCCCAGTTATCTCTGATCCCAGTTGTCCCTGGTTATCCCCCTGTCTAACGTTGCCAAAATGTAATATTTTAAGTTAAGTACCGTAATTGATGGGAAATCGGAAAAGTTAGGGGAAAAAAAGTTGGTTCGCGAACTTTTTGGGATCTCCTCTACAAAATCTCTATCTTAAAATTTTGGAAATTTTGACCTTGGTTTTAGGCTCTATTAAGTCTGTTTTTTTTTTAAAGATAAACATTATGTTGGCAATGCAATGTAAAATTGTCAATGCTTTCAAAATTTTTATGTAGAAATGGCTTGTGTTGCCAACATAGTTACTAAATTTTTGACTTGGGGAATTATCTTTAAATAAAAAAACAGACTTTACCTTCAGCACAAGAAACTCGGAAAATGACGAAAATCGAAATTTCAACCGACCGTAACTCCGTAACGATATGTCGTAGAGGAAAACTCTCTTGGGCAGATTGTAGAACTCGTCTAGATCTACAAAAAAGCTCAGCGAGTCTTTCCTCTCCGGCTCACCATATCCGAGATATTTCAGTTAGAATTTTTAAAATCATTGGGTTAGTTGGGTTAGTCGTAGGCAATACCATAAGAGCTCAGATTTAGCCGGATATTTTTTGGCTTGGTCCCGAATACTTACTTTTAGGAAATTTAACGAGAGCTGTTCCGACAAAATCACGAGAGCGCAGCTCGAGTGATTTTGTGGAACAGATCGAGATAAATTGCATGAAAGTAAGTATGAGAGAGCAAGCAAAAAAATATCCTGCTCAAAATCTGAGCTCGAATGGTATTTAGTACGGCAATTCCACGAATGCATAATCAAAATAAAATATGGAAATATTTACTTTTTAAAATGAACAGTTATTGAAGGTACAATTAGAATAAATATTTTGCCCCTTAAAATTTGACTCTACAGAAAGAGAAGAAGACTGTGTTCTCAGGAATTGAATTTTCTATTTCGCTATTAATTCATCTTTAATTGTCCCAAATCGCTGCATGTTGAAAATATTTTTAATTTTATTTAAAAATACACTTTTAATAAGCTAAAATGATAGAACTTGTGAATTTTTGTGACAATTATTTGACAGATGATTCAAAAATCAATTTTATATGCAATTGTTACTATGGTAACGATTGCATCAACAGAAAAAATATCCGATTTTTTTATCCAGTTATATTTTCTCTTCCTTCCTATTTATCCGCTTACAAACTACGATTTTTGACATTTCAAATGGGATTATTTATACATGAGTGGAATTGCCTTATTTATTTTTTCGCTGAAATTTTTTTTTTTCACTACGTCATAGATAAGGTCCAGAAAAATGTCGGAACCCACTTTTTCCCCCTCAATTTTCAGTTTTTCCAGGAGTTTCCGGCCCTTTTCTATACTCCACAAAATAGAAAATCGAAATTTTCCGAATTTTGGAAAAACAAAAACTCCACTGTATAGAGGAGGTCAAAATAAGCAGAGAAGCTATTTGGCATTTTCCCATAGGATGTCTATTAAGCCCGTAAACATCCAGGAAAACTCCTAGTGCCCTTTTATCCATTTATTATTCCTAGTTATGGAAGAAAATTAATAATAGAACGTTTTCTGCGATTGACAAGAAATGTCAGCATTTTTGACTGGTTGACAGGTCGCAAAACTCAATATTCTGGTATTTCAATTATGTTTCAATAGTTGCTAAGGAATCAATGAATAACGGCTACGCCTCGCCCGTCAACTTACACCGTCGGCCGAGAATGTGTCACTTTTCCACCTAAATACACAATATACTATTTTGTATTAAAATTCCCCCAAACTCAATTTGAAGCAAATTTTTTCATATTTTCAACTCATAAGGGTCATGAGTGAGTGCCCTACAACCGTAGAAATGTTTGCATTTCTCCAGTTATCCCCTGGTTATGTTATCACTGGTTATCCTTGGTTATCCCGGGTTATCCCCAGAATCCTAAGTTATCCCCGGTTATCCCTGGCCATGTACAGTGTTGTCCATAAGGGATAACTCGGGTGCTATTGGAGTTAGAAGGATGCGGTTTAAGCGGACGTTGGCTACTTTTTTATGAAACAAAAGATGGTGCCAACAGAATTGTCATCGCTCTTTTTGTTTTTCAGATACAACGTGTTTTTGAAAAAGTTGCATTTTGGGACACCCCTCGTATCTCAGTTCTCTCACAAGTGATCAAAAAGGTGGCAACAGTCTCTTATAGATATTTTTACGTCACTTCCAGTGGCGTAGTCAGTTTTTCTCTAGAAGTGATATTTTTCAATTTATGAACCGAACATACGTTTTTTCAAATGGGACACCCTATATATTATAAACTCATTGGATAGCTCTGCTTTTGCTGATTTCAATTATATAAAATTCGATAGGTTTATCTCTAACAGTTTTTAAGCAAAAATTTTTTTTTTGTTTTTGACATAAGAAACAAAACAATGTGTTAGAAAGAGACCTTTCTCATTTTCCTTCCAGATGCAAAGTCCTTTTCTAATATACCGTGTGACAACGAAATCGTTATACAAGGCGTCATTCAGTTGTCTTTAAAGTTAAAAATTTGAAAATTGGGTGGAACGGGTATAAGTCATTGAGATGCACATTTTTCGTAAAAAAACAATTGAATATTACTTCCGGTTACTCCGGAAATGGACTGAAGTCAAGAAATTTTTATGGAACCCTGTATATTTTTTGCACAGTTGGATAGAGCTTAAAATTCCCTTTCCAATGACATATTACAACTTGCATTTGTTTCCAAGATGGCGGCGTAAGAAGGTATTTTTCTTAAATTCAATATGGCGGCATTCTGACGTAACCGATAATGTTTCTGTCAAACAAACACTTTAACCAGTCCATAATTTTTAGATTTGAAATGGTTTTAGATCAAATTTGAAAAAAAAAAATGTTTTTGCTCAAAAACAAGGACATTTTAGAATTTCTTTGAAATGCAAATTTTAGTTTCAAATTTTCTAAAAATTTTGAATAGGAAGAGGTACTTATTAAATTCTAGAATTA